AGACCGGGCGGCATGATTGTTGCTCAAGCAGCCCTGGAGGCCCAAGTGCCTAAGAGGTAGCCCCCGAACAGCCTCTGCGAACAAGCTGCTGTGGTAGGCCATTAACGAAAAAGGGTTTTCCCCCACTTTATATATAAAGCAATATCACAGTACATCCGAGAGAACGATACAAACACACACCAACCGACACCGCACACAACTCACACCCAGGGCGAGATACAAGGGTGCCGGGCACCAACACACCACTCCAACGACTACAAAGCACACAAAGTTTAAGCAAAGGAGCACCGCCTTGAGCCGACAAAGATCACCAAGAGCGATACCTAGGAGAGGTGAGAGGCCAACGGCGGAGCGAGGACTCCAAAACGGTGCCTTCAAGAAGGGCACGACCATAGCCGCCACCGTCCTATCATGCAGGTCAAGTTTTCACCCGGAGTAATCTGAAGGGAGTGGGAGCACCACGACGGAGCCTGCAAGGAGGAAACGACGCCCACGGACGCCGCCACCGTCGAGTACAGGGACTACGGACGCCGCCACCGTAGGCCATTGACGGGTGCAGGGAAAGGTGAACATATGCCAGCTCGGTGCACTGGCTGATGAGTGTTGTGACCGGAGCAACATCCGCCGATTCCCTCTTGGAAAGGTCCTCACAGATTTCAATCCTCAGGGCCACGACTCCTTGATAGGTTTCAAGCTTGAAGAGGGACTCGAGAGGAAGGCCGCCTTTGTAGTACAGCGACTGCCTCCGAAGGTTCATGAGAGTTGTTCTCGACAAACGCCTCCGAAGGTTCGCTCTCCGCTGCTGCCACAACTTGACGAAAGTAAGCATCGACGCTTCGGAGCTGAGGTCTCTGGACTACAGCGGCGCCGTGCCTGAGAAATCCCTCCTCTCTTTGCACGGCTCTCCGGCAATATCCTCATGCACCATCGACTTTTGCAAGGCCACACCCATGGAGCCGGAGTTCATACTGTTCAGAAGGTTTCTCCAAAAAGTCTCACCCTCGAAGCACCTGTGTCTGCACCATCGAGGCTTGGACACTCAATTCTTCAGGGCGTTCCCCTCGTTTGCTAGCCTGACGCAACTCGAGCTACATGGCCCCATCCGAAGTAGTGAGACAGTTGATGCGGTCCGGAGGGCGGAGGGTACTGGAGCAGACGCCGAACCTCGAGGTTCTGTCGCTCAACATGGGAAGACAAAAGGATGAAGAGGAAGAGAAAGAGGAAGAGGAAGTGGAAGAGGAAGAGGAAGAGGATGATGATGATCAGGAACTGTACCATCAGTCCTTGGATGATGATGATGATGATGATGATGATGATGATGATGAGGAGGAGGAGGAGGAGGAGGCCATGTACCCGGGGCGGTTCAACAGAAGAGGCGTAGATGATGATCAGGAGTGGTACCATCAGTCCTTGGATGGTCTTGTGGAGCTCAGAGTTCCCAGCCGGTCGAGTTTTTCCTTGCGGTGCTTGCGCCATCGAGTGAAGGAGATCAACATGGTTAACTATCGGTGTGATGTGCAGCATAGGGTGCTGGCCAGCCTGCTGTTCCGCAATGCGCTTGTGCTTGAAAGGAAGCGTGTCATGTTTGTGAAGAAGGTGCCGTCCGAGTTGCAGGCTGAGCTCATGAAGGAGATCGAGAGCTGGGTACGTAGTGGCCAAACCAGAAAAGAGATTCATGTGATGAGTTAGTTGTCTTCCGTGAGGCAATCTTTAATTTACCCATAGATGTCATGTTATTTTCTTCTTTGTTCCTTTTTTTGCGAGGGATGTCATGTTATCTTTGGGAAAGTCATGTCTTGAATTTAGTAGAAGCGAGAGAGACACTCCTGGTCAGCACTGTTACTAAAACAAAAACACTCCTGGTCATGGTTTGGATTATCTTCACCGAGTAGTATTTTTAGGGTTAACTGGGAGTTGCCAATATAAGTTTTGGTTTACTAATTCTTAGTTGTCTGAAAATTTCGCAGTTCTCTAACGATGTGGGCGAGTCAATCCAGTGCCCAGTTCTCAAACATTACATGTCTTTGCACTAGATGAGCAAAAGCATTACAACATTATGGACATTTTTTGGTTGTGTAGATCAAACTTGTACAGTATTTCTCAAAAGAAAATTTGTACAATCAACTGAGAAACGAGATTTTGTCTCGGACGGTTTTACATTTTTGGCACTGGATATACAAAGTTCTTTTAGTTAATTCCATTTTTACCACTTAGTTTTACATTTTTGACAGGATCTACCCAACTTGAGAAAAATTCCTTCATTTAACCAATCTTTTTCAGTTTTACCCAATTTTTTGGCATTCTATTTCTCACCACATCCATATGTCTCGATTTCTCATGATCTCTTTGGCTTCCCATTTCAAGTGATGTGAGATCCATCTTTTTGAAACCTAGTTCTACTTTTTCATTGCCAACTGCAGAATCGGAAAACTATAGCATTATAAAAAGAAGTTAACATGGGAGAGCCAACATGATAATCAAAGTTGTACTAAAACCACGACAATTAATATGGATAGGAGGGAGTAATAAATCATATAGCCATTAGCATTTGTGCAACATATTTCTGACTACAAGATACAAATATATCCAGAGACGGCTGTAGTAAAAAAAAACCTTTTTAGGTTTCAAAAGTTGCATGGTGACCTATATTGAACAACATAGAAGCACCACGAGTGAAAATAATACAAGTACACAATGCATTTGCTAGCTGCACCAGGAACAATTCCAACATATACTATTGAACTATTTTTATTATCTTGGAACTGCCCTAGCGTGATTTCTTCCTTACTAAAGTATCAATTTCAATACATATGTAAGAGCATCCCCAACAGCTGCCCCAAAAGAGGCGCGCGGGGTAAACCGAGTTTTTAGAGCGCGCGGGACGTTTCGGCGCGCTCCAACGGTGGCGGGAAACTTGCGCGCGCGGGAAAAGGCAGCAGCTCGTGCGCTATTTGTGGCACACCGCTTCCAGCGCGCCTTTAAATTGCGGCGCTCGCCACGCGCCTATTCCACACACTTCCTCTTCCGCTGCCACGCGCGCCTCCATCGCTTCCTCGTTGCTTCCGCTGCCACACGCGCCTCCACCGCTCCAGCGCCTCGCCACCGACGCGCCACCATGCCGCCGCGCCGCCGAGGAGTGTCCGGCTACCGCGGCGTCCTCCAGCGCCCCAACGGCGGGTACTACTTCGAGATACGGTCCGGCGAACTCCGGCTCGGCCTCGGCACCTTCGAGACGGCGCACGAGGCTGCTCGCACGTACGACGCGGCGGCATGGCGCCTAGGCAGGCCGCGCCCGCAGATGAACTTCCATGACGTGGACACGCTCTAGCAGGCGCTGGACATCGCCCCGCCGCCTCGTCATAACACGGCACAAGACCGTGCGGAGCATGCTGAGCGGCAGCGTCGCCTCCTCGTCGCCCAGGAGGACGAGCGGGTCATGGCGGAGTGGCGCCGGCGCCACTCGGAGGACGTCACCTACGAGCAAACCTACTGGGCAAGGCGCTGCGAGCAGGAGACGCAAAGGCGCCGCGATGAGCGGTTGGACAGGCGTCGGCAGAAGGCCCTGGCGATATCGCAGTGCGATATCGTTCAGAATGGTGGGCAGACGATCTTTACGTCTGATGATGATCGTTGGGAGGACATGTGGCTCGATACCTCGGACCAGACGAGCGAGGATGGCGATGATGATGATGGTGACGACGACTGGGAGTAGGCTGTAGTTGCACTATCTACTAGTTTTATGTCGTTGCGCCGTAGTTTTTTTATCTATCTATGCTATGGAACCATATAAAATATCTATGTATCGTTTTTTTATCTATGAATTTTATTTACCATTTTAAAGATGTACGCAATGTTTAGCGCGCGCTGCATTTTAGCGCAGCCGCTGGAGCTACGCGCGCGCTCAATTTTGACGCGGCTGCTGGCCACGCCAAACCAGGCGAACGGCGCGCTGCAAATGAGTTTTTAACGCGCAGCGTGTTGCGCGGCTGTTGGAGATGCTCTAATGATGTTTCATTGTAGCTGTAAATGAATAGAGGTTTTAGTTGCAATCACTGTAACAAGAAATTGAACAAGGAAACTTTACTGTCAGCAAGAACGGAGCTCTAAGATGTCACATGAGACAAGCATCAAGCTTCAAGTTTGCCAAATAAAATCATCTAAGTGGCATGCCACGTAAGCACCTACTCCCTCTGTTCCTAAATATAAGTCTTTTTAGACATTTTAAATGAACTATAACATACAGATGTATGTAAACATATTTTAAAGTATAGATTCACTCATTTTGCTTTATATATAGTCACTTATTGGAATCTTTAAAAAGACTTATATTTGGGAACGGAGGGAGTACTTGTTCGAGCATCTCTGGCAGACCCCTTAGCCGTCCTCCCCGAGCCTTGCTGACCTCATCATCATCATCTATGTGAGCTCCGGTCCTCCCCCTCTCTCTCGTGCCCTCTGACGCTCTTGCACGACGATGGCATACGACAACGGCAAACTGCAGCAAGCCGCCCGGTTCAGCCCGAGCCAGAGTGCTGCCGGGCCGGTCCTGGAATACTTCAGCCGTTAGTCCGGTCCCGAGATGTCATGCTCGCGGACTGTGTAAAGGCCATTTTGACTGGCATCCGAACACAGGAAATCACCATTGGCGAGGTACTCCGCAAGCTGCTTGATCTCAAATTTGATATGGGTTATAGACATGTTTTTTTTGCAACGCACAAGTATATTTTGCTAATGTTAGAAGGATTAAATTTCTTTCTCCATTTCATCATCCTTCGCCCATCCATTTGCTCGATTTTGGCAACATGGATTGGGCGATAGGGACGAGTGAGGATTTCTTTCTCCTGTTGCAACGCACGGGCACATTTATTAGTAGAAAAATAAAGTAAATTTAACCAAATATTCAAGGAAATGATGGTATCTTATACCCCAGTGTTACTAAAAGAACCCTAACTCCCCACTCCTAATTTTACATTTCTGAAGTGCAATCACAACTTTTGCTATCATCTATTTACAGTTACTCTGGTATGGTGATTCCACCGCCAGGATCGAAGCTCCTTTGCAACCTTACGCTTACTTTGGGAACATCCAGCCGTTAAGGTAACAGAGAATTCCTCCAAAGCCGCAGCCTTTGAAAGTAGAAACTTTGCAAGCATCTTTTCGAGTTGCAGCCCTCTGTACATCCCAATGTTAATTCTTCTCAGTTTATCATCCAAGCAGCTGATCTGCATTGGCCAGAAACCACTATGGGTCACCTGGCTACTATAGTCGACCCCATCCTCAACGACGTTGTTCTCAAGCTCGATATCTGATTCGCTATCAGACGAGTACTCCTTTGGAGTCTCAGGAGCCATAGGAAACATCGACAGCACTTCCAAGTTCTGGGTGTGACAAAGCAAGACAGCAACTGACCGGATGTCGTGATGGTCGCGCAGGCAGCACCGGAGGCCCAACTGCCTAAGATGCTCTATGCAGGGCGCCACATGTTTGACTTTGATCAAGCTGCTATAGTAAGCCATTGATGGGCGGAAGGAAAGGTGAAGGTACGCCAGTTTGGTGCACCGTTTGATGAGCTTAGTGGCAGGAGCAAATTCTGCTGGTTCTTTTCCGGAGAGGTCTTCACAGATTTCAACTGTCAGCGCCGTGACTCCGGCATGGTTTGCAAGCTTGAAGAGCGATTTGCGAGGAAGGCCGCCTTTGTAGTGCAGCGACCGGAGGCAGGAGCTGCTCAGCTTGATGCGCGTGGCATTGTGGCAGCAGATCATGGCGAAACTCCGCAGGTGGGCGCTGGCCACCGTGATTTTCGTGAGGCTCGGGCACTCCTGCAGCGTCAGGTCAGCGAGGCGTGGGCAGTTGGAGAGCAGGTGCTGCAGCATCCCTTTGGGGTCCATGATCCTGGCGAGGCAGAGCGTCTCCAGGGACGCCATGGAGACGGTTCCGTGCACATCGAGCCTCCAGTTGACGAGGCGTAGGCGGCGAAGCGTGCGGCACCGGAATAGATGGTTCTGCGTCTTGGTATAGCCGTTCCGTTCGTAGATTTCGAAGTCCGCAGAGGCCCTCTCCGATGAGCCGTAGGGGCAGAGCCTGCGCCGGGAGAGGTGACTGTACCTGAGCTTGACGTCGATGTCCTCAGCGCCGGTGGACACGGCGGAGCCGATCCACTGGTCGAGCAGATCGCCGGACGGGTTGAGGATGTCGAGGCGGAGGGTGCGGATGGGCGCCGAGGGGGCCTTGCCGAGGATCGCCCCCGTCACCTTGTGGGCGAAGCAGACCGGGAGGTCGAGGTCCTCGCTCATATTGTGACGCCCATAATCGCCTTTGGCGGGGTCGGCGAGGTCGACGGTGGTGACGCGGGCGGGGACGTCGCGCCACCGGCGGGAGAGCGCGCTGGTGCACACGGCCTCCTCGGACGGGAGCTGGGAGAGGATGTGCTGCATCATCTCGTCCGGGAGAGCGCTCAGGCGGTCCGCCTGCCTGCGCCGCTTCATCTTCGTCGAGGAGTCGATGGACGAGACGAGACGGGAGGCGTGCCGTGCGTGTGTGCCGAAAACTTAAGCAAACCCTCGATATTTGACGAGGAGTTTTGGAGTGGGAGGAGATTTCTGTTTAGATTTCCTTCTTTCTTTTGCATGCACGGCACCACCTATGGAAATCCTCGATATATCGCTGCTTTGGTAGGCGTCCGCTACGGATCGATCTCCTCATTAACTTGGACAAATCTCGTCGGAACGGTGGATCGACATGGCCCCACCATCACGCAAGAAGCGGTCGTCGTCGTCGCCGTCGTCGTCGTCGGGGCAGCGAGATCGCATCAGCGGCCTCCCCGACAGCGTGCTGGGCCACGTCCTCTCCTACCTCCCCAACAAGGAAGCCGGCCGTGCGGCCGCGCTTGGCCGCCGGTGGCGCGACATCTTCTGCAGCGTGCACACCATCTCCTTCGAGGAGGAAGAGGGCGAGAGGGAAACCGACTGGGACACCTTGTACTACGAGGCCGAGGAGCAGAGGAGCTGCAGCGTTGAGCTGATCGACACTATCAGCGCTGCGCTCCTCCGCCGCCGCTGCCGGTATGGCAGCACGGGCACGGCCACCGGTCTCCCCGTGCCGCTGCGCAGCCTCCGCTTCGCCTTCGACCGCTACGACAATTGGGACAAGGCCGCGGTCGACCAGTGGCTCTTCGACGTGCTGCGCCACGCCGAGAAGGAGCTCCACCTCGACCTGCGCTTCTTCATCGGCCCGATCTGCCCACGCGAGGACGACGGTGAAAAGGAGAGCGATAATGAGGACTGGGGGTATGTCCTTCCGAGAAGGCTCTACTCCTGCACCGTCGTACGAACGCTATGCCTTGGCCATTGCAAACTGAACCTACCGGAGGCCATCAACCTGCCGTTCCTCGAAACTCTGCGCCTGACAGGCATCCTCGGCGATGACTCCGGCGAAACCATCCAAAAACTCATCTCGGGTTGTCCCCGCATTGCCGACCTGACGCTGGAAGCCAACAATAGTCTCAAAAAGGTCTTCGTTCTCGACAAATGCCTCCGAAGGTTCGCTCTCCGCTGCTGCCACGACTTGACGAAAGTAAGCATCGACGCGTCGGAGCTGAGTTCCATGGACTACAGCGGCGCCATGCCCAATTCTCTAGTAAAGTGGGCGTGCTCGTCGTCAACCTGATCACTTTACTAGATAAAGGTATCTACGAGTGGAGATATTTCGAGCAACAATTGACAACCAACTAAATGAATTGAATCTTAGGTTCAATGAGAAAGTGATGGATCTCTTATCCATTAGTGTTACATTGATTCCAAGAAATGGATTTACATCATTCAACGCTAAGGAAATATGTTCAATGGTGGAGAAATATTATCCGGCTAATTTTACACAACAAGAGAGATATGGGTTGGAGATTCAGCTCAACCATTTTGCTGCAGATGCTAAAAACAGTGGAGACTTGAAGAAGCCCATCACCATAACTTCTTTATGCCGATGCCTTGTTGAGACAGGACGAGATAGAATTTACAATTTGCTTGATAGGTTGCTTCGATTGCTTGTTACTCTCCCGGTTTCCACTGCAAGTGATGAGCGTGTTTTCTCGAGCTTGAAGATTATCAAGTCAAGGCTACGTAATCGAATGGAAGATGATTTTCTTGCAGACAGTTTGTTGCTACAAATTGAACGAGAAATTGCATCAAAACTTCCTTGTGAAGATATAATTGCTGATTTCAAAAGTAGGAAGAACAGAAGATCGTATCTTTAGTTGGCAGTAGTGCTAGTTGGTTGGCAGCAGTGCTAGTTGGTTCTGTTTATTGTCTTTTGGTCATTTGGTGTCACTACTGTTTGGTGTGGTCTGTTCTTTTGGAGCACCAAGATTTACCTATCAACAATGCTCAGGTATGTGTGAACCTGCTTGTGAACCTGCTGTATTTGTGTGTACAAGTACAATATATATATATATGGTCCTCTAATTTTCCTTGCATATGTTCTACAACTTAGTAGTTTTTTATGCATATGATGTGTTCTTATATGAAATCGGCCCCCTCTTGAGATTTGCTCATGCTCCGCCACTGCATACACATGATAACAGTGAGCAATGCATTGCCATAACCTTGGATAATTCAGTCCTATAGAGGGGCAGTTTATATAGACTACAGTAATAGAGCATTAAAAAGTGTTCTTTATGATTTGGTAGTTATACAAAAACACAAAGTAGGCGTACTTAGGAGACTGTTAATGTAATACATGATTATAAGCACTGGCAATTCAGCTTTTCCTGTAGGATGAGGCTAATAGGCAATAGAAAAATCTGTAATTTAGCTACATTGAATTTCTCTCTTGAGATATTTCTCTCTTGAGATCACCAGTTCAGCTTTTCACGACCATGGTGATGTTTCACAATCATTTGTGCCAAACAACATGGAGAGCCAATGCAGGGTTAGTCAGGCTACAACTTAATCAGCCTGCAATTGGACAATTTGCCTTCCAAGATGGAACAAGCAGCACAAAATTATAGCAACTAAACTATGTATATATCATATTCAATTAGAAGAATTTCCTCCAGCTAGCAAAATTTCCTTTTTAATATCTACGAACATCGCCGCATATGGAGATTTATCATCTAGGTCTACCACTTCGATACATTATCAGTTGTGCAAATAGTATTTTTCTCCATCAACTTGTATTGTGCTCCTTTGTTAGCAATCGAGAAGACAATATCATGGCCGAAGTCCAACTACTAAACAGGGCATCTTGTCACTCCCAAGAACAACTATTTTTTTCGATATCTAGCCTGGCAGCCTCAAAATTGGCATAAAGAATCACATGGATGAATATCATATACTAAAGAAATGTAGAATGTAAATCATAATAATTGATAGCCTAATAACCCTTAAAAGAACAAACGTGTTTCTAGCATGGGTATACACATTGAAAAACTTTATATCAGGTAACTCTATATAGCACGACATCACAATATAAGGATGGTTGAATAAAGAGCCGAATAGAAAATGTCAATATTTTGTCAAAAGTACACCCTAAACTGCAGAGTGAACAGAATCGATGAATTGCAGAGTGAAAACAAGTCAAAGGCTTGAAAAGTTGGGTTCTATAATTCTATAGAACAAAGTGGTAGGAAGACATAGTACAGTATGCCAACTAATGGATGACAAAAGACAAATTTAGGCAAGGTAACAATTTCAAAAGACAATATCACATTAAGGATTGTGACCTACAAAACCATCCCCAAACGTACCAATCGATGTCAGTGTGCTCGCCATTTGTACAAATAAAGCAAGGTTTGTAGTAAAATTCTGAAGAAAAAAATGCCCAGATTGGTAAAAAAATTGCTCGAACTCCATCCTTTAAAATGGCAAATTTATTTTGGTGTTCATCTGCAATAAAAGAATCTGAGCAAGATGCAATTTATCTCTGAAACTAAATAACCGTATGTAGGTACGCGTCCAATCACAAAGAACATTAACTTGTGGAATCTACATAATAAACTAAGACCAAATACCTTGTGCAAAAAAGAAAAGACAAAACGTGCAGACGATTTTGCAGATTGCGTGTTCAAGAGTATAGGAAATCTAAGGGGGCTCACTTCCTTCTGTAACAGTGAATTCGTCTTCTCTGAGGAGCTGCCGAGAAAGGAATGTACGTATGGTTATACGAGCTGCAATGACGAAGATAAAAGTATTTGCTACATAAGTACTGACGTTGATACCAAGGAAATACTAACCATCAGTATGATTTTGCATCTCAGTTGTGTCTTAATAATTGCCCACGTCATTTTTTCCACCATTAACAACTTTTCCAAATGTCGTATGTGGAAGCTGATGGAGCATCACGTCCATTTAGAAAAACTGTGCAAAAGAGCATGACAAAGCATTAAGAAACCCTTGCATATATAGCATCGTGTTTAGTTCATACTTATTCCAAATTAAGTTTTACAATTTAAACCGCAATCTGCCTATGCCCGTGGTCAAAAAATGTACTTATATATAAAAAATTCTTCTAAGACATAGTATTATTGTTTACCACTGAACTACGCAAATAGTGATCTTTTAGGCTTGTAGATAGAAGACATACTTCCAATGATGTTTAATAGTAAAGAAATAAGGATTACTTACACTTGGTTATGCACGGCCAACAGGGAGATAACATGCATGCCGCTGCAGCAAATAGAAATCTAACTGCCATCAACACATCTAAAGAAGCCCACTTGAACATGAAAATCTTTTCAAATACCTAGATAATAGATAAATGCATGAACTAAGGTACGGTCATGACAATAGTTGGCAACAGGACATGGGTAGATTAAAATCAAAACTCTCTTCTTTTACGGCGACATATTGTTCTGCAATTAGCAAACCTCAAGAAGACAATCAATTGTCATCTAATGCTAAAGAACTGTACTGGACCACGGATGAGTCAGATGAACAAACCTTGAGCTCCCAAGATTTGAAATTGCCTGGATCATCCCCCTGCAGCCCCTCTCCGTTCACCAAGCGACCTGTTGAATTAGGTCTCTGCTGTTACAGAAATCCAATGAAAAAACAAAAGGTGTCAAATAATATACTTGGTGACGTGGTGAGATTGTATTCAGGATGCAAAAGCTACATGATCAGCTAGTAGATTTAATTTACAAGACGCAAAGAACATTTGAGTAATTGAAACAAATTTCAAACTTGTATAACAATCCGACATTAAAGTATTCCTTATTTCTTTACTCAAACCTTGAAGTGTTGGATCATCACAATCAACATATTGGTGAGACACCATCCAAATCATCAAAGGAATCGGGAATATAACAGAGGACAGGAGATGAGAGGTGAGATACCTTACTGCTCGGGGAAGCCGCGGACAGAGGAGAGGAGGAGCAATATCAGCAAGCTTACGCCGGAGAACAGCGCCGTCGGCGAGCTCGAGGGCGGGGGCACCGGCTGCTCCT